TTTTTGTAGTTCGTCTCTGTTTCTTCTCTACTCTCTTGTTCAATAGTTTGCTTTAGTGTTATGCTTGGCTTTATTTTTTTGTGTGTATCTTTTATAGGCTTTTGATTTGTGGTTACCATTGGGTTCATATGTAACATCCTACGTGCACAGCAGTCTATATTAAGTTGATGTTCACCTAAGTTCAAACACTTTGTAAAGGCCCTACATTTTTACTCCCCTTTGACATTTTACATATATGATGTTATATTTTACATATTTTTATCTTGTATATCCTTTGACTAATTTTTGTAGATATAATTGATTTTACTACTTTTGTGTTTTAATCTCTATGCTGACTTTGTGATTAATCTAGTACCTTTACTATATGTTTGCTTTTACTTGTGTATTTTTTTTTCCTTTCATAATTTTCTTCTATTTATGTTTTGTATACACTTAAAGGATTCCCTTTAACATTTCTTGCTAGGCCAGTTTAGTGGTGATGAACACTTAACTTTTGTTTGGGAAACTCTATTTGTCCTTCTACTCTGAAGGATAGCTTTGCTGGATAGAGTATTCTTGGTTCTGAGTTTGTTTGTTTGTTTTTTTGTTTCCTCCTTTCAGCACTTTGAATACATCATGAAACTCCCTTGTGTCGAGCAATGTTTCTGCTGAAAAATCAGTTGATAGCCTTGTTAGGGTTTCCCTTGCATATAACTTTTCTTTTCTCTTGCTGCTTTTAAGATTCTCTTTTTGTCACCACTTTTTGCCATTTTAATTACTACATATCTTGGTGTGCACCTTTGATTCATCATCTTAGGGGCTCTTTGTGCCTCCTAGATCTGGTTGTCTGTTTTCTTCCCCAGATTAGGCAAGTTTTCAGTTATTATTCCTTCAAATACGTTTTCTGCACCTTCTCTCTTCTCCTGGGATCCCTATAATGCAAACTTTATTATGCTTCATGATGTTAGAGTTTCCTTAACCTATTCTCATTTTTCATTCCTTCTTCCTTTTTGCTGTTTAGCTTGGTGCTTTCCATTACCCTTTCTTCCAGGTTGCTGATACATTCTTCTGCATCCTCTAACCTGCTGTTGATTCCTTCTAGTGTATTTTTCATTTCAGTTGTATTTTTTTTAGCTCTGACTGGTTCTTTTTATAGCTTTCATCTCTTGTTGAAGTTCTCACCGAGTTCATCCATGCTCTCCAGCATATCTCAGTTTCACTTTATTGTGATTCTGTCTTGTTCTTTCATTTAGGACATATTCTTCTGTCTCATCTTCTCTAGTCTCTGTGTTTGTTTCTATTTATTAGGTAGGTCAATTACATCTCTTGGTCTTGAAAGCAGTGGCCTTGTATAGAAGAGGTCCTGTGATGCTCTATAGTGCATCAACAGAACCAGGCCCTCTTGTTGTGGCTGAGCCACACTTGCTCTGGGCATGGTGGGTTGGAGTTGGCTTCAGCCCAGCTGGCTGCAGTAAGCCACTTCAGCTGCTACGGGCACACTGGGCAGGGTTTGCTCCACCTGCTGTTGAGAAACCCAGCTACAGCCACTATGAGCTTGCTGGTGGATGGGGGGGTCAGCACTCAGCCTAGCTGTCTGCAATTAGCCTCTGCCCTACCCTACCTGTACCAAAGAGCAGGGCTTGCTTCCTATGCATCCAGCTAAGACTCCTAGATGCAAGAACTTCAGGCACACTGGTATGTAGACTTATCTCCTCCCCTTTTCAGGGCAGGAGTCCTTTTGATACTAGCAAAGTAGATGGAGAGTGTCAGAACTGGCTTCCGCAAGTGAGAGAACTGTCTAGGCTGGGGGAGAACAAGAAAAAAGGTGCCCAGCAATACTTTTGTTCCCAGAGAACTCTCTGAAAGATCCCTGCCCCTCCAGCACAAGTTCTAAGATTAGTCAATAAATCTCCTTTATGTGCACCCCAGGTGCACATTGCTGTTTCTATGCTATGTCTCAGGCCAATTTATTTAGCATGCTGTCTCTTTAAGGGTGGGGACTTTGCCTGTTGCCTTCTGGCTCTCTCAAAGCCAGACATTGTGGGAATGGTCTTTTTAGTGGAGATCCTCAGGGCTAGGGTTACCCAGTGTGGGGTCTGATCCCTTCACTCCTCTGTACTTTTGATTTCTCTCCCACTTGTGGTTATTTTCTCTAGGGGTTCACTTCTCAACTGAATCTCTGTCCCTCCTATCCTCATCCATGTGGCCTTTTCTCCATGACGAGTTATGGAATATCTGTTCTGTCAATTTTCAAGTCATTTTCAGTTAGTTGCATAGATACAGTTATTGCGTGGGTATGGCTGTGGAACGAGATGAGCCCAGGGTCCTCCTACTGTGCCATCCTATCTGCCCTGTTGCTTCTTCATGGGCTTAACATATACAGAACATTCCATCTAGTTCAGTGTTCTTTAAGATCGAGGTTTCCTTGTTGATTTTCTGTCTTGATGATCTGTTAATGTAAAAGGGATATTAAGGTCCCCAAGTATTGCACTGCTATTTCTCCCTTGGGTCTATCAATATTTGTTTTATATATTTAGGTGCTTCTATGTTGGTACATAAATATTTACAAATGTTCTGTCCTCTTGCTGATTGACCCCTTTATGTAATGTCGTACTTTGTCTCTTATTACAGTCTTTGTTTTAAAGGCTATGTTGTCCAAGTATAGCTTTCCCAGCTTTCTTTTGGTTTCCATTTGCATGGAATATCTGCAATTAGTCTTTTTATAAGCAGTGTATAGATGGGTCTTGTTTTGTTGGTGGTGGTGGTGGTATTTAATCCAGCCACACTACATCTTTTGACTGGAGAATTTAGTATTTGTATTTAAAATAATTGTTTAGAGTTATGTACTTACTGCTATTTTGTTAATTGTTTTCTGGCTGTTTGGTAGTTTCTCTGTTCCTTCTTTGGCTTTCTTCCTTTGTCACTTGATGACCTTGTTTAGTGGTATGTTTAGATTCCTTTCTCTTCTTGTGTATCTATTTATAGTTTTTGCTATGTTGTTACCTTAAGGCTTACATATAACAACTTATGTCTACAATAGTCTATTGTAAGTTAATATGCTTAAATGCATTCAAAAGCTCTACATATTTATTTTGTCCCCATTTTGTTTTTCTTGTCACATTTGGTTTTTTTAATCTGGTGTAACCCTTAACTAATTATAGTAGTTATTTTTACTAGCTTTATAAGTAATTAATCCACTACCTTTCCTATATATTTATCTTTACCAGTGAGATTTATAGCTTACATGTGTTTTGCCACTAATTAACATCCTTTCTTTTCAGCCTCTCCTTTTGTTTAACATTGACATTTTAATTATGTGTCTTTGTGTGTGTCTCTTTGGGGTCACTTTATTTGGAACTCTCTGGGCTTCCTGGATATTGTTTTCCTTCCCCAGGTTAGGGAAGTTTTTGGACATTATTTTTTCAAAGAAGTTTTCTGTCCCTGTCTTGTCCTTCTGGGTCTCCTATAAATGAGAATGTTAGCCAATAAATGTGGTCTCGTAAGTCCCTTAAACTACTTACAGTTTACATTTTTCTTTTTGCTGCTCTGATAGAGTGAATTTCTCTGCCCTGTCTTTGGGTTCGCTGATGCTTTCTTCTGCTTCTTCTAGTCTATTGTTGAACTCCTCTGCTGTTATTTTCAGTTCAGTTACTGCATTCTTCAGCTCTGTGACTCTACTTGATATTTATATTTTCTCTTTGTTGATGTTCTCACTGTGTTTATCCATTCTTCTCCCAGTTTGGTGAGCATCTTTATGACCATTACTTTTAACTCTGTGAGGTTAATTACTTATGTCTGGTTCTGTAAGATTCTTTCTGAAGCTTTATCTTGGTCTTTCATTTGGAACATATTCCACTGTTTTGTTTGCTTCACTCTTCTCTGTGTTTCTACAAGCAGCCTGTTTTCATTTTAATAGTTCCCACTAGTTGAGGATGTGCCAAGACAGGTCAGTGTCCCCAGAGAGAGGATCTCCGCACCTAGATTCAGGCTGAGTGGAAGCCAGACCTGGAGGCACCAGCTTTAAAGAATGGACATCTGTATAGTCCTGTGGGACCACAAGCATAAGATCCACTTGCCACTAGAACAGGTGATCTGGAAGTGTCCCCTGGGCAGCAGTCACAGGGCTCCCTTTGTGCATTAATTATCTAACCTCCCTCATCACCACTCCTTAGCCCTTCAGAGTTAGGCTTAAAAATAAATCCTCAGCCATGTCACTAAGTCAAAATGCAAACTGTAGAACAGCATATAGGATGTTATACCATTAACAAATCTGTGTGTGTACGCACACACTATTTTTCCATGGGCATATATGTAAATGTATAGAAACAGGCCTGGAAGGAGGCCTTCCAAACTGGTAAGAAAGCTAACCTTTATGGGGGGGGACCTAGTCAGGTGACATTTTCACCTTATTTCACTGAGTTGTTTTACAGTGAAAAATACATTAAGTATTCTTAATTTTTAAAATTCACTTAAAGGAAGAAAGTTGAAGTTAAACTAGCAAATGACAGTAAAAGTTCCTAAAATGGAAATGGATAGAAAATGTAGGGACTGTGAGAAATCTATAAATGGGCAATGCCTGGCAGCAGGCTTCTTACAAATCAAACAGTGCCTCACACACACACCCCCCCCCCGCCTGTGGACCTTATCTTACCCGAGCAGCTACTGTCTCCAGTGTTAAAAGACTGTTAGAAAATCCATCCTTTCATACGTGTAGTTATGGAACAAAAATGGCTTAAAATCGTATGTTTTAAAGTATTTCTTTACCTCCCACTTGTAAGTGTTAGGTCGCTCAATTCTTTACTATTTCTCCATAACCCAATTCATAAGGGGGAGGAAGATGCAAACCAAAGCACTGCCTGCAAACACACACCTCTGCAGGTATGTTGGAGCCCTCAGCTGTTCAGGGTAGCACACAAGCTAAAGCCATTCACGTCCAGTTTTAGAGGACATATTTCTCTCCACCGCCCCCCCCTCCCCCACACACACATTTTTTTTTTACAGTTTACTGGCGGGCTGCTTGGTTATATATACTAGTAAGGATTTGACAGAATGGAGCCAGAATTTAAGTTCAAATCCCAGCTCCTCTATTTCCCAGGAGTGTGACCTCGGGTAAGTTCTTAAACTTCTCTTGCCCTTAATGCTCCCTATCTGTGAAATGGGGACCTCCCTTGTAGGGTTGAACTAGTACACTACAGCCCTCTGTAGAGTGCCTGGCCTACAGGTAAGCACTTAAATGAAGATAGCTATTATTTGAATTGAATAAGGTTCCAGCTCTAAGAACTTAAATGATTATTCAAGATAATCTCCTTTGATGATGTGCTACACAGCATGTTAATAAACAGGCTGTGTGCTGCTAAGTAGGCAGATGGCCATATATTCTGAGGGCAAAGCTGGTTTCCTGGAATAAGCTGGGTACACTGTCAACATCGGGCCACCCCCTCACTAAGATGTAGGGAATCTTGAAACCTCAGAAAAATCAGGGTCCCTTCAGTAGGGATCTTATTCTCATGGGCATTAGTTTTTCAGGGAATTCTAGGATTTAATACACCCATAGGTGAGAGCCATCAGAGAGCTACAGCAATAAAAAAGTGAAACGTTCTGTGTAAATTTTTTTAAAGTGAACTTTGATTTTAATAGCTCTTTGCAACAACTTGTGAGAAATAGTGGAGCTATAGGGGGAAGAAGTCCTCTTCCTTATATATTTTGGCAGAGGAGGGGTGGGTGCTCAATGAAACAACCCAAAGTACCTTCCTGCCCCGCCCCCCCCCCCCCAAGTACCTGGGCTGTGGGAGGAGTAAGGATGAGCTATCCTTTAGCCAACAGCAGCTAACCCAAGTCCATGGGTTTGTGTTGCAGGCATCATGTACCGCAAGTCGTGTGCATCATCGGCAGCCTGCCTCATCGCCTCGGCCGGGTACCAATCCTTCTGCTCCCCTGGGAAACTGAACTCAGTGTGCATCAGCTGCTGTAACACCCCTCTTTGCAATGGGCCCCGGCCCAAGAAACGGAGCAGTTCTGCCTTGGCCCTTCGGCCTGGGCTCCGCACCACCATCCTGCTCCTCCAATTAGCCCTCCTCTTGGCTCACTGCTGAAGTTGAAGGAGATGATGCTCACCCTTCCTGCATTGTTCTTCCGGCCCTTCACTCCCTCTGCTCCCCAAGCTTCTCCTGGGTGTCCTTTTATTCTGGGTGGGGAGGGGAGTGTGTCCTCTTTCTTTCAGTTCCTTTGCCAATGCAAGAGCTCAGTGTAAAACATTTTTTGTAAGCTCTGAATAAATTCAGTCTGAATTTTCAGTGTGTACTTAAAGGAAGGGGTGAGCAAAAGTCTCTCTCCCCAGAGTCAAGGTCCGGCCGGCAGAATCCACCCTTAGAAGGCGCATAGGTGGGCATCCATTTTTTTTTTCCAGGGCCCCTAGCTTCCACACCTGTCCCTCATAGGGGCAGTTTGTCACCGCTGTGTCAGGATATGTTGTTTGGGGGGGGGGG